AAGTCAGTCTTACCACTGTTCGATAGAAAAGTTTAAGGCCACAACGCGGCGGCTCAAAATGTACTTTTCCTTTTATCGCTACGTTTAGTCTTATTGCGTGTCGTTTTAAGTCATTTATATGCGCTGGAGAAGTATAACAAAGACCAAATTAACATTTTTATTATCTCAAAACTTCTTTGTTACGTACATTACGTGATGCTTTACCAGTAATCACCGATGCAATAACGTTAAAAATGCATAAATATTTCTCTCTATAAAAGGGAAAATTTCTCATTATATCACATATAATTCAAAACAACAAGTCGATATCATTTCTAAATTTATTGATCGTTATTGATTTTTTATTAAAGAAAATTTCTAACGAGTAAGTTTCAATTTTGTAAAAGATTGTGTTTAAAAGCTATAAGGCGGTTTGCGCAACCGAAGTCCGGATTTTTTTTTATTCTCGATTTAGTCCAAAACACGGTGCCCTCGGTAACAGCAGGACGTTACAAAAAACGATTTCACGGAAGCGTTGCGATGGAGGAAATTAAATAATTTCGAAACGCTCCCAGCTGCAGTTGCACATCGGGCGGGTTTAAAAAGACGCCATTGACCCGAGCTTTATCGCAACTGCGCATTGTCAAAATATCTGCAATGATCAATATGATCTATCTATCCGGATGTGGCGTCATGGCAAGTTACTGAACAGCTTGATATGTCAATTTTCTTGATTGATATGACAATTAGTGAATATTCGAAAACGTCTAAAACACCGATTAAATTCAATCAATACAAATTAAATAAAAATGTTATTATTATATTTAAATTATGATATATAAAGAATTGGGCATTGGGTTTGCCTATATGGTAGAACTTTTTCAATATTGTATCAGCGTCAGAAAGCTCGACTTAATTCCGTAACGCTTGACCGTTTTCAAATTTATTAACAAGGTTGTACAATTAGGAAGACAATTTCGAAAGAGAAAACAAACGCACTCTTACATGTAAAGTGCACTGTGGCTTTTAAACTAGAGACGAGTTTCCGTCTAGAACAACTCCAAGAACATCGTCAAAAGTTGACTTCAATTGACCTAGTCAGCTGCAGATGATCTCTTACAAAACAAAGGAATCCTAAGCTTGCCTACAACTGTCTCAACTCAAGTCGGTTCGACGCTTTTAATCGGGCACGCGAGGCCGCAGATACTCAACCGCAGGTTGGGACTAATCGCAATTCGTTAGATCATTCGCGACAGATAAGAAGACAAACAGACGACGTGTTGAGGCGAGATGCGGTCGTTAAGTTCGTTGTCGCCCCGGGACCAACGCATCGTCCTCGCCCCGGGGGGCACTAACCCATGTGCGCCGATTAGATACCGGGACCGGGCGTCAACACGCCCCCGCGCTAAACAAACTGGCAACGGTTAAACTGCGTTCGCGAGTTTCGTCTGTTTGCAGTGGAGACAAGTTAATTAACGCTTGTCTATACGTATACAGGTGATATTTATTTTGAAGCCTTCGTATAAATTTCACTCTCATATTTTGTCCAAAAGCACCAAAAGAAGTATAACTTTAAAAACATTTGAAGACAATGTAGGGTGCAGTTTCAACGACACTGCCATTTGACTTACCATAGAGGAAATTAAATAATTTCGAAACCGAGCGGTAAGTGTTATCAAGAAGGTGGTTTCACTAAATAATTAAGGATAATGTTATAAAATTAATGCAGGGAATTTATTATTGTTATTTTCCACGAAGAGCCAGTTTTATTTTTTTTTTCTCTGCAGAACGATGTGTTCGTGCGATTCTAATATTAATAGCTGCACATGGCCGTCATTGGGGCGTCCCATTTGTCTTACACAACAATAGAATGGATAAATGCCAAGCTTTCAACTGTAACAATTAACCACGATGGGAGATTTATAATGTATACATAGGCGTGTATAAACAAATGTATACGGAAGAGGTCAGTACTAAATGTGTGTAACGACCACATAACATATAACATAACGACCATATAACATATAACATAGATAAACTGTAATACATAGACATTCAACCTTTTATACAAGGACTGATTATCGCTGCACTTGTTTATAACGCGCACGTGCGCTTGTGAAATGTCTTCTTTTATCAGTGTTTTTATACGTGTATCGGCGAATGTTTCGAAATAGCCCACACCCCCCTCGTAGGGGCCCCGTGACGGCGTCTTATCGGGCGACACGCGTTACACCCAAGTGTTTGTACAGTAACACCGGGTAGGACAAACAATGGGAGGATGTAGAAATTGTCGCAGTTAATTGAAATAGGGATAAAAGCGATCTCATAAAACCGACTCCGAAAAAAACTTACCGTAACGTATTTTCGTCGAAAAACCGATTATTCGCAACGTTCCCAAGAGGTACCTACGATTCACTTCACTTAACAGAGTTTTCACCTTATCGACTCCAATGGTATTTCTTGAGCCGACCAAATATTTTCGCGATTTCCTTTAAGAACGCATAATTTTTATTTCTGCCCAGTTCTTTAGTCGTTTCTGGAAATATTTGACAGTTATTTCGTGAAACTACGGAATATTGTGAAATTAAAAGAAACCTTTAATAGACGCAAGTCGAGAATGCTTGGCCTGTTCTGTCGTTAGGAAATTGGTGAGGTGCCAGGTATGGGACGTGTGTCGCATAGGATTCTTTTAAGAACTCTGTTTTAATGCATATAGGTGCTAAAGTAAGATAACAGCCTATATATGCTGAGCAAAGGCCTCCTCTCTACAGAGGGAATTACGGCATAGTCTACCAAGCGACCCCACGCGAATTGGCGGACTCTATATATCTTCGATATATTTTTTCCTCATATAGGTTGAAGAAAATTAATTTAAGAAGAAGGAGAAGATTTATATTTATAAAACTCATCAATTATAAACATATGATCTTTTAATATTAATTACATAAGGCCTAAATTTTTGTACGGCTTACAAGACAATGACATTAAAGCTACAAAAATTTCGATTCAATTAACAAGAGCACCGACGAAAATAAGCATACATTAAGTAAACATTCGCGCATGGTGCAAAAGCGTGAGTGTAGTAAAATAAGCAAGCCCAAATTCATCGTTAATACGAAATATCCAAATTATCTGGTGCGATCAAAAGCCGGCGTTAATTACGCTAGATTAAAAGCAAACCAAGTCGGCCATAACAGATAGTTTATATTAATCGGGCGCCAAGTCGCGCTTGGATCGTTTGCGATCTCGTTAAAAGAGCGTTCTGTGCGAGATAAAATAATGGATGGCGGCGTTAAAGTTACGACAGTCGCTTTAGGATACTGTAAAAACAGTTAAAGTTTACAACGGCCGGGACGCGACAAGCTGCCCTCGTTATAACAGAGCAGGAAATACTAATTGCGATTGGCGCGAAGCTAGGTGTTAATGCATACATTTTACTCACACTATTTAACCTTTATGTTATTTTACTTACACTATTTAACCTTTGTGTTTATTCGTTTACATTAATGGTGTCCATTGTTCAATAGTCGACCGTTCCTAATAAATTTTATTTGTGTCAATAGTTTAACTTTATCTAAGTACGATTTCTTATCTGTGCAATTAATACTATTCCGCACACACTCAAATTACTGCTCAAGCAGAAACTCGAAACGCAGAAGAAATTTGAGTCTATACTTAAAAATAAGAATGTCGTAAAATATTGCGACAGTCTTCAGTCTTGCGCAGTTCTTCCACCGTTAACGCTGCTCCCTGTTATTGGACTGAAATTTAAGGTCTGCTGAGTCGAGATGGTTATGTTGTCATCTGACGGACGTCACCAGACGTTTGTGGCTTATACTTAAGTCATCTCTAATGACACCCACGGGATGAGATGGGATAGCTTATTCTTACGCCTACACCACACGACTCGTATATAGCTAGAAAGAACCGATAACCGATGAGGAAGAAAGGTTCTCGATTAGTAGCCTGGTATTGGCCATCGTAGTATGGTTTATGACGACTGTTAGATTGTGTACAAAAATCAACAATTTTTTTGTACCAACATCGTTATGATGTTTTTCACTAAAATTTTTATTTATTTGTTAAGAATCTTATAAAGGGCGGATTAATTAAAGGCATTCTCTCCTAATCAACCCGGATTGTGGAGATATATTGAGGTTATTAATAGGTAGGTAAATTCTTTAACAATGTACAATTCATATAAATCACATTTATACAAATATAACTACAACATCTAGCAAGTGAAATATAGTGGCATAACGATAACGTTGTTGACGAAGTTCTGTTGTGTTGCAGATAAAACTTAATTTTAAAACGAATTCACTTACATTAGCTCGAATATTATCGTCGATATTAACTTTTATCGACTTTCAATACCAAATTTTATCGGTTCTCGGCTAACAACGATAAACTTCTAGTTTGTCCTACCATCGCAAGAGCAAAATTTTCTCGAATCATAATTTAAGAAGTGTATGTTTAACCGATGGGGAATACAGGTTCTCGAGAGGCAGCCTCGTATCCATCATAGTATAGGACGAACCCCCACTAGATGTAGTGACGACCTGTGCAAGTGTGGAATACGATGGATGCTGGTGGCTGTAGGGTAGGCCTATGTTATGCAGTGGCCTCAAAAAGGCTGAATTGATGATGATATTTACGCGTATTCAACGATTCGCGTATCGCGGCCGTACCTAGGGTTGCCTGTTTAGAGAGACCTGGCAGGTAGACTGTTTTTGAGAAAAATAAGGTATCAAATTTTTCAAGTAGGGAAATATGAAGTAAATTTTTTTTTATTTATTTCTTCTTTCGAAAACATTTTCGTGTGCTTCTAGCATACTGACAGTTTTCAATCATCATCAAATAGAGTATTTAAGGATAACGAGAAACCGTCTGGAAATACGAGTATTTTCAAATATACTTTATTTCTACGCAAAATTATAAAGTATGTCTGCCAAAAATAAAGTACGGATACGTTGTTACAAAGCACGGTCGGCAACCCTGGCGCGTGCCTACGGACTGACCTGAAACATGTCCGTGTCCGGGTCCTCGGTGTACTCGACGATGACCGCCTGGCTCCGGCTGAGCGTGTACGATATAGAGTGCTGGCTGGCGTCGAGGATCGCCTTGCTGCTGTGGGGCGTCTTCACCACGTAGTGCTTCGAGCGGCGCACCCCGTTGGCGGCGGGCCGTCGGTACAGCACGAACTTGCTGCGGCGCCTACCCCTCTCGCCGGCGGGCAGGTATCCGTTGTACCTGCAAGGAGCGATTGATTAGACGTGTGGAATCTGATGCCTAAGGGTCCATCAAATAATCAAAAAGGGGGGGGAGGGGATTTGGCAAAACTCACAAGGAAGGGGTGTAGTAAGATATCACATTTTTTCGTGGGTTTCGTGGGTGAGTAAACGTAATCACCGCGTATCACTAAGGGTGAGGAGGGGGGTTAAAAAACATCACGTGAATAATGGACGACCCCTAAACTATCGATAGGTCTAGACATATTGACCATATAAATAAAATTATACAAGCGGAATTATCGCGTTCATTACTTAGTAAGCTCGGTGACGTAATGTCATGATACATCTCAGTGTATCACTTAACGAGTATCTATAAAATAAGTCTATATAAGTCGCACTGTTGTCCAGCTCCTCTTTGGAGACGGTATTAGGGTAGTCTGTTACGCGACCTCAATGCGGATTGGCGGACTGCACATGTATTCGGACTATTTAATTATTGTTATTTCGAAAATATGCAGGTTTCCTCACGATGTTTTCTTTCACCGACGAGCATGTGAGATTCAGCACAAAAATTGCAAATAACAACTTCATTCTTGCCGGCACCAGGTTCTGAACTAAGGTTGGTCGACTGTAATTTCCTTCCGGTATTTTCCGTCATATAAGGTTTCAGATAAGAAAGATCTCTCCTTGAAGTGTTTAGAACTATTAGTTGACAGATTGAATACTTTTAAAAGATAAATATCCCGCCAAAACCACACTATACCTCTATCGTGATCACATCTGATAGATGCCAAAAGATGATCACCCATTCAAACCCGACTGAATATTTCCAAAGGGTGCGGATCCTTCGGAAATATTCAACAATGAATCATTTCCAATGAGCTTGATTTGTCATCATTACCATTACGACATCACCGAGTCTACTCGAACATGAACGTTATAGTAGAAACATGAATGCATTGTTAAAAAAAAACAAAAGTGAATTCAAAACGAATCGTTGGTTAAAAATTTAGGTACATTTGAAACAGAGTTTTAAACAGCTTTGTGGATTTGTAACGCGAAATTTATTTAAACGCTTGATGTTACAAATAGCACTAATGTCATCATGAAAAAATACAAAAACAAAAAAAATAGAAGTACCAATTAAATGAGAAATTCATTGTAACTTGTGCTTAAAGGAACACTAAAAATTTATTCAGTTAACAGAAAAAATAAGATTCCATGTTATTACAAACAAACACAAACGTGCTATAAAAAAAAACACGTTACTATATGGAACGAAGTACCGTCGAAGATAAGTTATACAGCATGCAACTGCACGACGTCATACGCTTAATATTCAGGTCATTAGAAACCAATAAAGACGGTACATACGTGCCCAATTTGCATACAATGCGCCGATAAAGAATCCGCGTGGCGTTTTTTGCGTTAATTAACAAAAAACCGACTACACTTCACTACAAAAGACTATGGGAAAGGTTACACTTCCGTGTGAACAGCCATGGAGGCTCGCAATACCCATACCCATTGTGATATAATATAACGAATGGATATAATCTACGATGCCGATTGTAGTTGCAGCAATTGTTGACATAATACAACTTTTATATTTCCAAGGCACGCAAAATGAGTGGTAAGCTGATTGGCAATGCTTTCAGAGAAACAATTCAAACAAAAAAGTCAATAATTAAACAATAATTTTAAAAATAGCACAAAGCTTTTTTTGTGAAATGTTAGTAAACAAGCCATCGGTTTCACTTGATTATAAATGACCACCGCCGCCCAAGGACATCTACGAAATCTGAGGATGAGGATTTGCATATGCAATGCTTACTTTTAAAAATAGTTAGCGCTGGTTACCTCAAAAGTCAAAAATTACATTTATACTTACGCTGCTTCCACTTGCGCAACTGGAAGCTGTTGTTAAAATATCATAAATTCGTTATAAAATAAATAATAGCTTTAATATCGTAAACAAATAATAATCAAATAAAATAAACGTACACTCATATACAATAACAAGTGCCTTATTACTTGAATTCAGCCGTCTGGTAACAGCCTTATACAAAATATTTACTGATTTTGAAATAATTATGCCGATCATCGTTGTAAAAAAGATATCAGGTAATGGTCATTCAATTATTGTTTGTTATTAGTCTTACATATGCGCACAAAATTCCAAACTATTCATATCTGAGATGGAGTTGAATATCGAAAAAAAAAATACTCATTTTGCAACAACAAGTGCCTTATTATTATATCAGATATCGTCAAACAACATTTACGTGTACTTATTTTGACATAATTATGCCGATAGATATTAAGTTATCATCAACCAATTATTGTTTGGTTATTAGGTCTAAATATATTTATATGTTAAAAGGAGGTAAATATCGTAAAGAAAAATTCATTAAATTCATGTATTCATACATTTAAGTTTAAAAAATATTACATTATGCCATGTTCATACAAAAATACGAAGATATGAAGTAAATAAAAGCGCGATAGAGTGGTATTAACGACTTCAATTACTCGTTAAACAATTCCGACTCGTTTATTCAAATCGGCGTAAACTTTACAGCAGACGTGACAATACTACTCAACGTCAGTGATCATAACTGGAGAAGTAACTACGCACAAGCAGTTCAAAGCACTTTAAGCGGGCTATTCACGGTATAAACGGGCATTACGACAACGATGCCGAGAAATTGGACGATATCAAGTGGATGCATCGTGCATGGGAAGCTTTAAGAGTGCAACCTTTGTCTGTTATTGTGTAAAGTGACGTAACGTCTGGCGGTCTGTGTTTACATAGTTTTTGTACCAAACGTACATACCTATTAGCTATCCGTGAGAGCTTAATGTCCGAGCGCTCGCTTTGAATTCAATTGATGACTCCGTGGCGTTGTTGCCAAGGTATTGGCTTCGGCGTCGGGGGTCGTGGGTTCGATTCCCACACGGGACAACTATTTGTGTGGCCCACAGATAGTTGTTTCGCATCTGGGTGTTTGTCCGCGTGAAATTTATGTTTGTAAAATGTCCTTACAACACAGGATAATTGTTATCCTAAAGTAAGGGCAATGTTAAAAAGAAAAAAAAAGGAATATACTCGAGCAACCTAAGATCGCATCCCGATGCCGGCACCAATTAAATTCTTAATTTTACATACACATATTTCGCAAAATATGTGAATTCCACCATTCCGCATTGAAGTCACGTGTTGAACTGTTCCCTATCAGAGAAGGCCTTTGCCCAGCAGCGGGACTTATAGCTTAGTTCAAGGTGTATTAGACGGTGGATATTACTTTTTTACTTTATTAATACCTTTACGATTAGCTCAAAACGTTCGCTACAGCTCGTGTCTGTTTCCTGTCTTTTTTATTTAGAGAAGGTGGGCAAACGAGCAGGCGGTTCACCTGATGTTAATTAATTACCTCCGCCCAAGGATACCCGTGGGCTTGCAGGTGTGTTGCCAACCTAAGCGAGGGTGGGCCGATTACGTAACTCGCCGGGTGAATTGCAAAAGTGTTACATTATTAATACTTCTACTTCACACAGGTCATACATGAGGCCGTGTATTTCCAGTGGCCGACCTCTGCCGCTGCGTGGTTCAAAAGAATAACAATTTTATCCCTTTCACTATGAGCTATCGTTGCATAACGCCAACCAGTTCATATACAGCTCCCCGCAATATCCTGACATTGAAGACTATTTCTATTGTTATATTTTTTATGCTCAATGTATTTTTCATGCGCAACGTACGATCTGTCGAAAATAAAATTCGTAACACATATATAATTTTAGGTTTCACAAATCGTACTATATTGAGCTAACGGCGAATTGGCTTTTACTGTTTAGTAGATTTCATGTTGTACAAAATAAGATTTTGCTAGAATTACTATCCTGGTATCAAATAGCACAAAATACGATAAGACTGCCTGGACCTGCCTTATAGTAAGATTAGATTGCAGACAAGATAACTACAGTAGAAAACAAACAAAGCTATAAGATTACAGAATGTTTTTATTTATGAACAAAAAATCTTTTGAGGGCATTGACCTTTTCGAATGAAAACATATGAAGTTCCATATAAGGCAAATATACATATAAGAAAAATCGCACTTAATATTTAACCAAAAAAACATAAATACAACTTTAAAGCTTTAGTTTGAAGATCATAAAAAATTAAAATATGTATTTGTATAATTATAGACACATTAGTATATTTTATAAGTGACAGGGGTATATTTTAGGTCCCCAAAATATATCCATGGAATGGTAAATGGCTTTAGGATTGAAGCCAAGAGCAGAGCATGATTTAAAAAACGATCCATTTCAATATTGTTAAATGCGAAACTTTTCGATGTAAGTTTGAAGAACAATGAGTACAAACGAAAAAATAATTAGGGATTAAATAAATGTAAAATGGAAAAAATTGTTTAAATAGTCATGAGAATAAAAACAGTATCAGACTGACTTAATTAAATCCGAAGGATTGAGAATCTTTTTTTCATAGTTTATTCGTCAAAACTATTTTTAATTAGAGTTCCGTACCCAAAGGGTAAAACGGAAATCTGTTACTAAGACTCCGCTGTCTGTCTATCACCAGGCTGTACATGATACACGGTCTAACTATAACTGTCTAACTATCACGGTTCATATAGACAGTTATACAGTTGATATTTTCACAGATGACGTATTTCTGACGCTTTGGGTTAACCCAAATCTTAAAACAATTAATCGGTCGGGACAAGTCCTAAGCGGATGCTTACTTAATTCGCGCCTTTTTTATTATAAGTTTTTATTTTTTTATTTCGCTCGGATCAAATACTTCTTTGGATAATGCTGAATAATAATCTTATATCGAAATAATAGTTATAGGCCTACGTTTTTGCCAAGTTCTTTGGAATTTTACAGAATTAAAAATTACCATTAAATAATACGACCTTAACATGAAGAATGAAATATTCAGCTGCAATACCCAGAATAGGGCTCCTTTTATTGTAATGCTGAGCAAAA